GATCAACATTCAGGGGCTGCTTGTTTCTCATTTCATCCATGCAAAACTGCTTTAAGATTACAATTAAATAAAGCATGTGATGTGCTTTGACCACTCCAGACTACTACACAAATGTTTATTATTTTTGTTTTGTTATTATTGCTGAGCCCTATGAAAGCTTGGGTTATTTTCTTGGTAGTGACGTTCTCAGATTCTGGACTTGCCCTCTTCAATAGAAAGGGCATGAGGGGAAGATCCACTTTGATTCACTCGCCTCAAGAAGATATTTTTTACTTTTAGCAATCAGCAAACCACTCAGCAATAGAATAACCATTCTATTGGATGAGAACATTGATCTGTTCTGTCCAGCAGCCTGTCCACAAAACAGCTGATTCAATGTCTTCTAAAAGTCTAACACAACAGTGCATTTCCCTTGTGTTATCCATCACATGGCAATGTTGTATGTTGCCACTATTCCAAAGGCCTAATTGGCATAATTTGAAGACAGCAAAAGCCTTGATTTTCAAGAATTAGCAGTCTCTTTTCTAAAAAAAGATTTTTTTTTCTGGAGGGCCATTACCATCGTAGGGCATAGAATAAGGAGTGATAATTCCTTATTTGCTCTTTTGAAACCTTTCAGCTGATCATGTTTCAAAAACACTCCTGGGAAGTACTGGTGTAAGCAAGCAGAATGATGAACACAGGACAGGATGATACCTCCTTACTTCTAATTTATCTGACCTGGGAATGGGCCTGACCTAGTTCCAAGATCAGCAATGTGACACGCAAAGAAAGTCTAGAAGTCTGACCACAAGAACAGACAGCTAGCTGTGCTGCCAAGTCTGGGCACGTTCAAAGGCACTCCTCTACAAGTAGCCCTAGGCACATATGGGGATCTAACAACGGTCAAAGGCGCCTGCTGAGCAAATGAGCATAATGACAGCGAGCAGGACCATATCTCGACCTTCCATATCTAGACGGAGGGGAGAGCACCTCTATCCTTCCTTTTGCCGGAAGGCAGAAGTGCAACCGGTCAACCAAAGAGCTTTCCTTTTCTTCCTCCCCCACTTCGGTCCTGGACAGAAACTCACCGACTTCACCCGCAACTGGAGTCCCCACGAGCCCAAAGGGACGCCCACGCAAGACCGTCCCATCCTCCAGCACTAGGCTGCCCATAGCTCGCTTTAGCACGTGGAGGACGACGACGGGATGGGATGGCTTGGAACTCCCGGCCGGGGGCGGGGAAGCGACAGAGCGACACCGAGAGGCAGAGCAGAGCAGGAGGAGGGAAAAAGCAGAGGATGTGGCCGGCGCCAAACGCACGAGGGGGAGGTGATGTGGCCGAAGCGGTGAAAAGCGCGTTAGCAGGAGGCGGAGCCGAGCTGGTGAAGAAGGGAGGAAATGACCTGTCGATGGGCGGCGCAGCACGAACCGAGCCGGCCACGTTTTTTCAGGCTCCGCCCTGGTGGGTTTCCTCTGCCACCGAATCCCTTTACTGTATTACCGGTACCTGCGCCTCGCCAGGCCCGATCGTTATGTGCTGTAGTAGAAGGAAGGCGATTACGAAAAAAAAAAAAATGCATTCCATGGGCAGATTTTTGCCAGTGGGTAGTTGCATTTGGCACACTCAAATATTAGTTGCAGGAGGACAAAAGGTACCGATAGAAGAGAATATTTGTAGCTCGGGGTTGAACTGTGAGGTCCTTGATGCTCTCTTGAGCTTGGTTGTTTTCTTGCAAGACATTTCATTATCAAACTAGGTCTAAGCACTCATGATAACACAGATGTTACCTACTTTCTCAGAGCACCAAGGACCCCACAGGACAAAAATGCCGAGTCTTGGTCGCCTGAACAGTGAAGTTTGAATTTGGGGATCAAAATTCATGTTTTCCTTCTAGATTTTATTTATTTAATAACTCACCTTTATTATTTTTACAAATAATGAGGGAGCAAGAATACATTATTAATAAGAACACATTAATATTCCTTCCTCCTATTATCCCTTTCAACAACAACCCGGTGAGGTGAGTTGGGTTGAGAGAGTGACTGGCCTAAAGTCACCCAGCTGGTTTTTCATGCCTAAAATGGGACTAGAACTCCAGGCTCCTGGTTTTTATATCCAGGAGGAAACCTATGCAGAGTTCAATGTTTTACACTCAGTTGAAATTAAAATTCCATTCATATGTGTAAGGCTGCTGCTTAAATAAACTACAAGATTAAGGATGACCCAGTTTCATCAAGTAAAGGGGTTAGACTAGAGTTTACCTTGTGATGTCGTAATACAGACTGGATCAGTTGCCTTTTGTTCATAGGTAAACTCTGAGCCTGGTCATATTCCCAGCCAACCAGCATCTGAGTTGAAACCTATATTCACAGAGGTAAGACTGAGTTTTGGGCCTATAAATATAAAGAGTTTCCCTGTAATCCATTCTTCTGCCTGGGACAAAGCTTTGTCTTATAAAAGAAAAAGGGCAGAATTCTGGAGATGCAGGCTAGAGAAGTTGCTATGCCTAATCTGGGAGAAATACTGTAAAGCTAAAAATAATTCTGATATAAGTTTGAATTTATCCCCAGAAACTAGAGGAGATCTACAGAAAATATTTTGTTTCAAGATTCAAATTATTTGTATATAAATAAATGTTTTTAGCTAGGAATCTTTGTTAGATATTTGATTTATTTTGTTGGTATATTAGAAGCCATCTGATTTTTTTATTTCTGTGCAAATTCATTACTGATGCAGTGTCTCTCAACACAAATTATAGTACTCCAGCTCCATCTTGTGGCCTAAGGAAGAACTTTGTATTTTTGCAAATTCATGTACTGTTGCTATTGAAATTTTTTTTTTTTTTTAAAAAAGACTATCTTTTGCATGATTTGTTATCTTCCAAAGAATGGAAGAATAGAAATCTCTAGACACCCATGATTATGCCACAGTATCAGGGACCTGTATTATAGAAAATATTTCATTTTTTTTTCAATTCTTTTATTTACATAACTCCATACTAGTTATGGAGCAATGATGACCAAGCAGTAATGCCAAGGCAAGGAGACAGTGAACTGAAGATCCAATATATATGTACATTACTTGTCCATTGCCTAGAAAGAGCCATCATTTCACAATCTCCCAATTTCTAGACTGGTGCTTTTACCACTATACCAAACAGACTGTCTTGACAAAATTATAGAGTATTAATAAAGGGAAAAGGGAGAAAAAGACAATTATATTTCTAGCTTTTCCCTTTTTGTACATTCCCTATCAATTACTTTACAGCATTTGTGAATATTTAGAAGTCAGACTGTGATATATTTACCATGATGTGTGATATATTGTATGGAAGTCGTTCTTGTTTAAATTCACTTAAATTCTATTCTGCTGCTAATTTTGTCATTAGTGCATATTCTTCAAGTTTAAGTTTCCACTTAAATATTGTCAGGATTATCTTCCTTCTAGTAAATTTTGGACAAAATTTATTCTTGCTGCTGTGAGCTTATTTCTCATTAAATTGTGATGCTTCTTGTTTCGTGAAATTATGTCTTTTAAAAAAAGTTTCATTTCGGAGTAAATCCAAATGTTGCTAATAGCTGAAAAGCAGTTAACAACCAATTTCTGAAAGTGATTAGAAAAGGGAGTATGTGAACCTGGTGCACTTTTTAAAGGCACCGTCCATGGTTTGAGCAAGATAGTCTCCCAGAGCTCTAAACCCACAGGAGAGACTGCTTTGAAGTCTTCTCACAGGGAGGGTCTACTTGCTGGCTCGTCATCCTGCCATTGTTGTTGGTACTGAAGTATATTCTTTTTCATAATTGTAATTGATTCTACCCAAGATACTATCTTCAGGGTTTGATTTCTTGCCAAAATTTAACATAGTTATTTTGTTATATTTCTTTATTTTGTTGACTTTTAAAAAATGACTATCTTGTACATCTGCCATTTGTCTCTCAGTACAGATTACTGACCTTCTCTGTACATATTTAGTGAAACTAAATTCCTTGTTTATCTGAGCACATTCCTAAACTTCAAAACTGACTGCATGGAATGTAAAACAATCAAGAGCAGACATGCTATGAAATCTTCTCTGTTTTATTGATTAACTGAAGCTGCTTCTTCCTTACAGTGCTGATGCTTTGATTATGTAAATTTCTGCCTAACTTAGCAGTCTCGAGACAGCCAAGTTTGGATTTATTTTTGCAAATGGGAAGTAGATGTGGATCAAATCCTTGGAACAATGTGTCCCAGGAAAATCTGATGAGGTTTTTTTAATGTGATTTTAAATCAGTTATTAAACCGATCAGCTAATGGTTTAATTTAAACAATCATAGTTACTAAACCAACAAGCTAATTGTTTAATGAAAACAATGGTTTAATTAAAATAATTACATCGGGTGCTTTTCAAATACTTAGTATACAGCAATGCTTATTGAGCATTGACCTGATTTAAAAGCTTAGGGAATCTTGCATGAACAGAGGACAGTGAGCTGACTGAGTAAACATAAGTATTTTAACAATGAAGGAGAAAGAAGCAAAGCTTTCAAGGGTGGGTATTGTTCAAACACAGAATCACATTACCAGTTCAACTTTGGCCTGGAATGCAGGCAATTTTTTCAGCTGCTTCATGATTTGTAGAAGATATTTGAAGAAAGAAAGAGGGCAAACTTGCAAGCTTTCTGTAACAGGCGTAGGGAAAAAGAGCAGAACAGATGTTTTGCAGTAATCAGGTCCCAGAAAAGAATAAAGGCTAGGGAAAGAAATATGTTTTGGTTATTTATTAAAATAAACTCTTAAATTTTAAGGCAGGAGAACATTAATGGTAGAATCCAAGAGGTGTCCTGAAGTAACAGGAGTAAGAATGGGGTTGACTTTCTCGTAAGTTTTCTTTTGAGCATTCCAGATTCAAAACTTCCCTTAAAAAAATCACCCAAACACAGCTTCTAACTAGCACTTTTTCTCAGGTGCTCTGCTTCTAATAGTAAAAGAAAGGAATCTGGATTAAGCCCTAAGGAATCAGTAGTCACACAAGCACTGGTTTTCGTCATATCCAGACACAACCCTGATTAGTTGTATTTACTTTATTAGAAACTGAATGTACAATCCAAAGAATATCTAACATCCAATAAGACATTAATTTTCCCCACTTCTTTATATCTTTTATTGATAGCCCCAGTTTCTATGCATTGGCAAGCCAACTGGGCTAGCTGAAAATAATGTGTTCCTGTACAATAACTGCTACAGTGTTCTCCCATGTGTCCGAACATGTAACAGGGTGACAGGCTCCAGTCCAAGGAATTATTTCCTCCAGAAAAATTGAGAACCTCCAATTCCAAAACCAAACGGTAACAACAGACAGCAGACAAGACTGTAGACTAGCACCTCCTTTGTGTACTGTGGGTGGGCCAGGAGAATGGAGAGGCCACTAAATGGTTTTGGCTTTGTGCCGCTGTGTAGTCCAAAGGAAGGTGGAGAGAGTGATAGTGATGGCTCCCAAAGTTCCAAAGAACAGCAGGTATGGAAAATTGCCCTGAAAGCAAAAAATAAATTAGAAAGTTTTTTCTAATTCGATTAGCTCCCAAAGGTTCCTTTTAATCAATCTCAAAGGCTTGAATCAAATGGGCTAAAACCCAAGCATAGCCTTTACTAAACTGAAGTCCTCCAATGCTGTTGGATGTTAGTTTCCAATAACCTCAGCAAGTAGAAGGCAATCTAGTGCATAACATAATGATTATTCCCAGTTGGAATAATCTATTTCATTTAAGAGCGTTTACTTTGGATTTTCCATCCCACCATCCCCAAAAGCCCTATCTCCTTGTACCAGAGAAAAAAAGCACATGGAACATAAATCCCATCATACTCCAAGAGCAGCTCACCTGGCGCAAGCATTTATAGCCATGGTATGGATCTACACAGAGGCACTGGGACAAACCGGGTCCATCAGAAGTACAAAGTGATCCCTCTGGGCATACCCAAACTGTAGAAAAACAGAGTGGATGGAGGAGGGTGAGGATATCCTCTCACTTTTCAAATCTCACTCCATAAACAGCACAATTCACAGTTTCTGATCTTCAGTTTTCTTTCTATATCAGTCTCTCCCACACCATTAATATGTGCCATCCATTTGCACAGCTGAGCTTATCCTGCCCACCTTAATCCTTTCTGCCAAACCCATCTATTCTTATCTTCCTAAGATTCAGGACGTGAGGACCTTGCTGCCCTCAGTTCAGGTCTTTTGCCTCCTACTACCACTGATATTTTATTGTACAAGGTGTTCCACTTAGCAAATATTTTGCTCAGTCGACTCAGGATAAGGACCAGCCCATAAAATGCTAAAATCAGAAATAGATTCCACTGGAGAAATGTATAGAAAACCCACCTCCTTGCCCAGCTGCAGTTCATTTCTGAAAAATATTCATCTACAAATTTCAGAAATAATAGCTAAGCAAAAACACTGATCTCATGCAAAAGAACTTCCTGCTGGATAGTCCTCCACTGCCCTTAACAGAACAGCCCAAGGCAATTGTGGTACTTCTATGTAATAGTTATTAAGTGTTACATGTTATCAATGAAGAAACTCAAAAATCAAAACCTCAACAGCCAAATTCAGAACTCAGATTAATATATAGTATTTAGCTACCTCATTGACATCAGCATACAAAGAGATAGCAGAGTGGGAACATGAAATGTGAGAGTTCCTTCTTATTTCTGTTGGCCTTCCTGTAGCTGTTTCACTGCAGCTTTTCACTCTAGACTTTATTTTATGTTTGTAGACTGCGGCAAAACATATAGTAAGAGTGATTCACACCTTTACCAACTGATGGTTAGACTACTGTAATGTAGTAGTTTATGGGGCTGCCTTGGAACATGACCCAAACTGCAGTGGGTCAAAATGCATTGGGTAGGTTTTTAGCAGATAAGAACCATTACTGCAGAATTAACTCCTATTCTTCAGTTACTGCATTGGCTGCTAAGAGGCTTCCAAATCAATCTTCTGGTTTTGACCTTTTAGTACCATCTCCTCCAATATGATTGTGCCTGTCTCTCATGCTCTTTCAGGAAGTGGATATTAATGGGCCACCCGATTCCTGATAGAGTTTCAATATGTCTAGCTCTGGAGACAACCATTCTCTGAGGGTCCTCAATCCTGCGGAACACCTTGGCCCCGAAGGTCCAACAGGCAGCCACTTTTATTTACTATTTTTTCATAAGACTGAAAATAATTTTGTTGGAGTTTGGGGGATAAACAACTTACTTTTAGGGGTCCCCATCACCAATCCCCACCTTTCTCCACCTCTTCTTAGGTGGTTACAATCCAAGCACACAAGATCTTGCCTACTATATCCATACCAAGTCCCAATGAGCCATTGCAGGAGTTCCTCTGGTCATGACAGATACGATTGTTTCCTTGGATGGTGACATTTTTCCATACTTCACTGCCTCCAGGACAGTCCAGCTTCTGAGGCAAAGCACTGAGGATCAACATAAATTATATCAGAAACAGGTGAGAGGCAAATTTAGTAGGGTCCCCCACCCGCAAATAAAATTTCAAAACCACATCCCAAATGCCTAATGTTATGAAAATGCACATAGCCAAGAAAAGCTTTGGATTTCTATTGAATCCTTTTATGAGAATGTGGCAGTAATGCATAACTGGCAAGGTTATGCTGCAGTTCTCATCTCCTGGTAAACTTCGTTTCGTGGGCCCCAGGAGGTAGGCCTTCTCTGTTGTGATGCCCACACCTTATGGATCATTCTCCCCTTAAGGAGACAGTTTTGTTCCTCCTTATTTTCTGGAAGTCCCTGAAGAGCACCAGTGAGATCTTGAGGTGGCTCTGTGGCTGATCAAATCTCATATTGTGTGTATATGTTTTAATATGTTTTTGTTTAAGTTTTTATACTTTTTTGCTACATAGCCAGAATCACTTCTTGTGAGGTGGACGACCATATAAATTTGACAAATGAAAAATCAGCAGCCTCCACTGATTTTCCATTTGTTGTCATGTACAAATACTCACAGGGTCTGCAGCTGTGTGAATCCTCGAAAGCGGTCTTCAGGGAGACTTTCCAATGGATTGTCAGTCAGATCACTACATTAAGAACAAGATAATGAAGAAAATACACATTCAAGGCCAATGTTGTGCTTCCTCTGTGCTGTGAACAATGTTTAGTGTAATCCATCACTCTGATGTCATGTCTGCTGTGGTGGGACAATTTACATTTAAAAACAAGTATCTCACATTGAGGCTTTCCTTCTTTCCAGCTTGAAGACATATTACATGTGCAATTCAAATGCTCAAATATAGAATTCAAGCAGTCTCCATCAGCTGCTTATACAAAAAGCTGTTTACATGACAAATGTAATGCATGTATATATCAAAGACTTGCATGTAAACCATTACTAGGCATCTGAGCACAAATTACAATTATTGCTAGTATTTCAGAGAGGGAAATCAGAACTCAGAAACTGTCTTTTGTCTCCTCCAGCCTCAGTGTTCAAGGTGTCTAACGAACCCTAAAAAGCTGTACTATCAAAAATAAAAACTCTTTCAGTTCTGTACCTTGTATGGGGAATTATGTTCATAATGGTATCAATAATTCTGTCAGCTGCCATCTTATGCTTGCTTGTGCTTCACTGCAGTGACAGACTTCCATGAACTGTGGGGAGTGGAGATGAAGGGGGGAATGCTTTGGGAAATGAAACTAAGTGCAGCATTTCCACAAGATGCTGTCTCAAGGTAACCCAGCTGGAAGAAGCAGAGGGTCACATACCAACCTGCACTTGAACTGACTGTTAGGAAAACATCTTGCCTGAACCAGATGGTTACACTGGGGGGAGGAGTACTGAGAGACAGTTAAGGGGAGGAAAGAGTAGAGGAGAACTTAGGGATTTTGGCATGCAATTTTCAATTCTGGCTTTGCATTATGGCAATAGACCTGGTCTCTAATAAACTATCCTTTTCTTAACAAATGGAGTCAAGGATCATTTCTAATTAGAGGTTTAAGCTGCGGCAGGTCCAACAAATTCAACTTACATGACAAAAGCTGTGTTCACTTCCTGGAAGCCAGAGCAGAGCTGATGCAATGAGCAATTCCCATAATCCAACCTACAGATGAAGAGAGATAAGCAACTATCTTACTTCTGTTGTAAAGGACTGGGTAATGTTATTTTTATATTGGCAGTAATAGAAAACATATTTAGATAAGACTAGATAACATAGCTAGATAAGACTTATCACAAACCTCACTTATGGAATGTTATACTTCTGTTGGTATAACACCTTTGGAACAGATGCAGCAGTCAATTATGCTTGTTGACTGGGTTCCCACAACATTTTTGATTCTTTTGGTACATTTATTAATTAAAATGGAACAAAGAAAGAAAAATAAACTTGCTGAATCCAACAATCCTAACATGCTACACAAATCCAGATTGGGTGACATATCAAATTGTTTGAAAAAGTTGGTTGTTAAGGGCAGGAACTTCTCCAAGAATAAAGGGGGAACTATCACAATGTTCTTTATGTGTCATGGCATCTATTCCCCCCCCCCTCCCGTTTTATCCTTCGCCAAAGTTCTGATCCTATCTCCTAAGTTTTATCCAACAAATGATGTTGGAGAAAAAAATATTCCAGGATGATACTATATCATGAAGTTCATTTATACATTAATGAATCGAATAAATCAACTTGGGAAAATGAAGTGATAAATAAGAGGTATATTACTTAAAACTTCAACTCACATTACTCTGTTAGCATAGCCAATACTAAGAGAATGTGGAAATTATCATTCAGGTTATAATAGTACACATATTTTGTTCTAATTAATATTTTTCATATTACTATCCTAGGAATCATGCATAATGAAGTGCCCAGCCATTCACGAAAGATAAAATTAGCATATGTTAAATAACTATATATTTAGAATTCTTAGTAACCAAAGTGTATTTACTTTATTTTACAGAAGTAAATTCACACATTCACAAGATTCAACTCCTAACATAAAACAATTACAATCCCATCAATCTCACCCCCATTATAATCATTTTAAAGTTAAATTAAAACTAGATGCCCGTAGAAATGTAATGCCAGAACTGTAAAAGGTAAACTATACTTAAGGCAGCGTTTTCCATGGAAAGGGAGGACCTGCCTTCTATTTCACACCCCTTAATTTCTGGGAGAATTTTTGCAACGTTGTCATATTTTCTCCCATTTAAATAATATTTAGCTAAGTCACTGTACTCGCCTCACCACAGGAAGGAAGGAGAAAGAAAAACTCATTTTATACGTTCTCATAATATACTTTTGTTTTGTTTTTTTAAATAAATCAAGTAAGCCTACTTAATCAGATCACGATCTCTTGAGGGCAATGGGACATTTTAAATGAATTTCTGGACAATGCATCATGGAATCCAAAACCAGATACAATTATCAGATGCCAGGGGCTGCACTTGGATTGCCTTGTTACCACGGTTAAGCAAAAGATAATGTACTTGGCTGTATTACAGATCGTATTTTTGTTAGGCTGCCAGCTTGAAGTCTTGCGTCATTTTCCCCATAAGCGAAAGTGGGAAAAAAGCCTGCAATTCCGGGGTGTAAGTTGGATCACCTCAGTCGGGAGAGGAGGAGCCCGGATAAAGGTTAGAAACTGATCATGTCAGTTCGAATTGACTCACCCTAAAATAATCTTCTTGTTTCTCTCTAAGCAGCAGCGGCCCCGCCGTACCGTACCCATCCGGGAACCGCAGAAAACGGCTGCTGCGGATTCATTTCGCATGGGCCCGGCACAACAACCACAGACCTGCAAAGACAAGGTAGACAGAAACTATGAAAGACCCCTCATATATCTCCCTCTCCCGGAGTTCCCAGGACAAGCTTCCTCCCCCTTACCTGCTCTAACGTTTCTACCAGGAGCGCGGCGGACGAGGGGAACACCAAATACAAGAATAGCTGTGGAACCCAGAGCCAGCTGGGCGCAGCCATGATGCATCACATGATCGCAGACTTACAGTCACGTGAATTTGAATAAAAATAAAAATGAAAATCATGTGCTCTCCCGTGAGAGAATAAAAAAGAGGCTTAATAACGATACCTTTTATGAATTTCGAAAAAAAATCCATAACTGGAATATTCGTCTTTGGTTATTAGATTATTTTATTGGAACGTATAAACTTATAAGTTCTAGAAAAAATTAATTGGCTATTTTATTTATATTTACATTTTTATGTATATATTTATATACCCATGTGGGGAAAATCTATGTGGTTCTAGGAGTGGGAAACAACTTGATCGCACAAAGTAAATTAATACTGTATATAAAAACACATGGGGAAAACATTAGGAATAGGGCTTCGGGGATTATTTCCAACCCCTTGTACCAGCAGTGGCCAAAGAAAGTACTGTACTTTTATTTTCTTCTACATTAACAAACTTACATGTTTATGTGTGTGTACGAGAGAGAGGGGGAAAGAGATAATTGTGAGGAAAGTGTGTGTACTACACATTAAGAGACTGTGTGACTGAAGATCTAATTGGGGTGGTTGCATGTTAGCTGGGTGTTTCGGCTCTTCCCTTGCATAGTATCTATTGTGGAGGCTATATAGGAATATTGCAGAACAGGCTGCAATATGCTTTGGTCTTGAGCCACTATCAGTTGCCTCTCTTTGGGTTTTTTTTCCCTTGGATCTTCTCTGTAGCCTCTGATCTTACCCAAGTCTATTTTCCAACTTTATCTTTCTCTTGTTACAGTGTCTCTCAAACCACATTTGATCTCTTTCTTTTCAGTTTTGGAGAGTTTTCCTATTACAGATAGAGATAGAGCTCTGAGCCTCTTTTTACAGTTTCTTTGCTATATTCTGTTTGGTTGGAAAGCATAAAAGCTAACTGAGGGAAAGTAAGTAGAGCATAGATAGTTTTACCTACCATAGCAGTGGCTATAGAATGTTTCTGTATTTTCCTTTGTGGAACAATGTAAGAAGTTGCATCTTTGGGTATATTGAGAACAGGCAAATTATGCTCCAATCTGTGCCAATAACCAGAAAGAAGATGACTTAAAATGGAGGAGGAGCAGCCTTTCAAGCCTTTGTCCAATTCCCATGACCATGGTCTGCATTTTTCTCTTATCCAGCCCATTTTTTTGAACTTCTTTTTTTTTGTAATATATTGATTTTTTAAAAAACATAAATGACTTAATAATTGGTGAACAGTGTGTTGTCTGGGTTACATTTGTAAAACAATCACTAACAATTGATTTCTATAATCTATAATCCACATAATAGTTTTAGTTGATTTCCTCTTTTCCCAAATATCTTCTTTTGCAAACATTGAGTTAATACAATTCTTATTGTTTTGATAAACAACAATTAAATATATAATTTTTCCCAATAGTCCTAAAAATAATAATCATATCAATATAATATTTCTTTTCTATCCAATCATTCTGGCTGCCTTATCATAGATCCTGTTACAGTCCTTATTTTAATTTGTTTTTCCCAAACTTCTTTTTTTTGTTGGCCACCTGGAGCCCTAAGCAGAACAATGGTGTCCTTTGGCCCTTCCATTGGTTAACTCAAGACATTAAGATCCACTCAATAAGTGCTGAAGGTGAAATAAAAGATTAAAAATTCAGTTTTATTCCAGTTCATGGGGGAAACAAACAGCTCTGTGCTCCCCTTCCTTTGGTGCCCCAAGCATTTGCTTATTTTGCTTAATTGTTAATGCAGGGCTACCACATCAGACTTGGCTTAGGTCTGTTCAGTTTATGAACGGTTTATAAAGGGACTTAGGAGAGTTTTATTTACTTTCTCCCAACATTTTGTCTGTGCATCCTGACATGAAATAGCTTTTATTTTGTGCTTTCATCATTCTAGGAAACAATATTTCCATTCTTGAATTCTGACTGTACTCTGCTACCAATATAATCAAACAATACCTCTGCATTCTATCTATAATCTTTACTTTCATGACTGTCTTTGAATTGCAGAATCTAGGTCTTGAACATCTGGCTCATATTTTGGCTTTCTTGCTTCTTCACATGCCTATTAATTAACATTTTTCTGATGAATTGCTTTGAAGAACTTTCATATCCTTTTGAAAAAAAATGGGTTGGTTTTAATATTACATAGATATGGATTTTACGATTCCCCCTCCTCCATACAGCTGGTTGCTATTTATGAGTCTGAAGGACATTCATGTAATCCCTCTTTAAAACCTTCTGAATAGAGACTTCAAGCTCTTATGTGTGTAGAGTGTTATACAAAAAATATTTAACAAACTTGCGTGTCATATTTGAGACATGAAGTTAAATGCATAAAGTAAACCATATATTTTATTTCCAAGAAGATCATAATTTTATCTCCTTGGAAAGTATGTGGATAAAGCATAAAGCATAAAATAATTAGCACAGCACTTACTCATAGAATCTGTTAAAACATAATGGATCTTTTTTGGTTTAGGCCTAGTAAATTATATAAACTCAGTCTTTGTGACTTGTAAATCACAGTTTATAGCTTAGTATTTTATGTGCACTTAGCTTTAGATTTATTCAATACATCATGGTTAAATTAAGCTTGATTAGAACAAACCATTCTGATTCACTGAAGTCAAAATTAAATTTTAACGTACAAGGTTTAATCAAGCTGTTTTTTGTTTTCAGAAATACACTAGTGGACTGATAATCATTTTCCCAAGGATGTCTCCCTCTCTTATAAACAACTGCATTTTATCACTTTAACCTTGAATGCCCATATAATAAACTGTTAAAGATACATAATTGCACCAATATATTTTCCAAATTCCGCAGGATGATTCCTTGGAAAAGAGAACACTAAGTCCAGACCAAAGTGCATCTGATATCAATTCACCATTTCAACTCAGTGATCACAACAAATTTTTGAATAATAATGTTAATTGGTATCTCATGCTTCTTTTGTTTACTATGTGAAGCCATCTACTTGCTCTTGTATTTTCATTTGCATTTGAGGTCTAAGAAATTGCCACCACTTCTATTTGCAAGGGTACCTAGGTTGAAATTCAGCAGTACATTTATAGAAATTTGTCACAACAAAGATAAAAAATAATTTAGAAGTTGACACTGAAAAATGAATGAAAAATCTTAGTTTTAAAAGATTCAACACACTTTGGGCTGCACTTCAAGTAGATGATTTTTACATTCATCTTCAGGATCGTAACATGGAGGAAAGAGTTGTTAAATCAGCCACTACTGGATCTGAAAAATGCAAAAACAGTTTCTGACTTACTTCACAAAGCAATTCAGAGGTGAAAATATATTAAAGATATGAAAATATGTTAAAGATAGCCACCTATCTAAAGTGCTTTATTTTTCAAATAATATATTTTATTAACTATTTTAGAGAAAATGTATAAATGAAAAAACCTAAAGTGATAAAAAAGCTAAATAAATCTTAATTTTATTATGGCTCAATACGATAGCTTAGTTCCGTGGTGGCGAACCTATGGCACACGTGCCACAGGTGGCACACAGAGCCCTCTCTGTGGGCACATGCACTGTTGCCCCAGTCCTAGGCTTTCAGCTGGGTTTTATAAAACCTTTTCGCTTTAGGCCTCCACCGCTGTGTGCAAAAAACCCCAAAGATTCAATCAATCAATCAATTTCAATTTCTAGCAGAAAAAAAGAGATCTCGCAAAGTTGGAATTGATTGATTGAACTTTTTAGTCCCACCCAATCTGCCATTACCACTGAAGCCAGGCCCATCCAATGGGCCACACCTACCCAATGGACCACACCCACCCAATGGGACACGCCTACCCAGCACCCGACAATACATAAGTGGGTTTGGGTTGCAGTTTGGGCACTCAGTCTCTAAAAAGTTTGCCATCACTGGCTTAGTTCATATGTCTAAGACAATGGCTAGGTTCCCACAACACTGCAAATTACAACCTACCCAACTTCATGCTAATCTGGACTAAAAATGTCTAACCTAACCACAATATGTTTCTAAGAACATTCCAGCAGTATCAACATTATTCTTAATAAATGTATTGGCACAATCCATCCACTTTGGTATGGCATTTAATCAGTTTTGATGTCCCCTTGATCTAAATTCAGCATTTCTTCAGTTTAATAGAAATAGTTATAACTAATAACCTAACTATCATTGCAAAAGATAACTGTATGTCACCATCTCAATTTTATGTTGTCCTTTAAAAAATAAAGTCCAAAAATGGATTCAGAACCACCACAGTTGAGGATGAGAGAACTATATCAAGCCCTCTTAGATGAAACTAGCTTTCAATCAGCTTTTGAATTTTCTGAATTTTTTTTGAATTTTGAATAATGTTGTTATTCCTACTTGGAATTAAGGAGCCACCTTCTTCCATATTTCCCTGGTTGTGACCTCTTACAGACTCAATCATTAAGAGTGCAGCCCAAGACCAGATTTTATTTCCAACTTTCTAACAATGTAAAAGGCCATAAGAAGATTGTAATTCCTTATTAATAGTGAGGTTCTACAGTGCTAATGAACTCCTATAAGCAATTCAGTTTTTAGGGTCAACAATGTATTTTTAAACTATTAGAATGGACAGTTCTGGGGAAGAGATTCTTTTTTTGCATTACTTGGAATAAAACAGACTGCATTTTGGGTGAAATTTGCTAAACTTCTTGCCTGTTTAAATGAGTAGGAAAAACAGATGACTATCAGTTTTCACAAGCCACACCAGTCTATTTAACATTCAGCAATTAGTTGTAATATCAGTTAAATCCAGTCTCTTTAGCTGTATTAGCAAGGTACCTATTATTTTGTATATATATGCAGGAAGAAAGTGAAAGTCAAACATTAAGTTTCACAAGGACCTCTATTATGTAGATGCCATGAGCTTGAATACTCTGTATGAAGACCCAAAGCCATCATCATGTCCAGAATGAGGCAGGGAATACATTTTAGGGAATGAAGTTATTAAAAAACTGTCTCCCCAAGTGCAGCCCATTTCTCTGCAGAACTGAAAAGCAATGATCAATTTCTATGGAAAAAAAGGATAACTTAATG